ATGCGAGTAAAGATATTTATTTTACTTAATCTTTTATAAGAAACATATTTTCATAATAACATCACCTAATAGATGTTTCGGGATAGAAGGGTGTCATAAAAATTGTGCAAAACCTAGTACAACATGATTGTAGCAAACATGTTGAAGTTGATCATCACTTCATCAAGGGAAACATCGACCAAAAAGATTATACAATTTCCATTTGTCAAATTAGAAAGGCAACTAGTGCTAACAAAGGTTGTTCCATCAAAAAGATTCCATGGTACAATTGACAAGTTGGACATAATAAATATCTATGCTCCAACTTGAAGGAAGTGGCAGCATAAATTGTATGTATGATTTTAACCCTAAGCTATAATTATTAAAATATATCATTGGTTATTAGATTGTGTTTGTAATTAATGATAGGAATTTGATTTTAAATGAATCTTTATTATCACACATTTTTAACCAAATCACACGAATATATATAACTAGTTATGATACATGATTGTTTTTTTTTGGTATTTTATAAAACAAAATTATGATTTACCAATTTTACCATCTTTACTTGTCATTAAATTTCCAAAAGAGAGGAGAAAAAATTTCCAATACCAATAAAACTAATAAAAGATAATTGAAGAGTTTAAGAGGTAAGAAAGAAAACCACATTCTCATAATCTTTAAAAGAAGCATAAAATGAAAACTAAAATTAATACTTTATAAAAATTGTAAAGTATCTTATAAAAAGGACCATTAATTCTTTTTAAATTGTAACTTATAATAATAACCGAAGGGAAAATAATTTTTTGATATATAAAATAAAACTAATTATTTTCATTTCTTATGCTAAAAAAAATATATTTACATTATAACTTGAATCATTCCTTTAACTATTGTGGATTGCCACAAATGGTCCAAGATGTGGTTCGAGCTTGCATTTTTTATGATGCAAGTTCAACACCCATACAAATCCGTGATTAATAAAATCCTATTTTAGTAAACATACATATTCAAAGAGATCTCTTCGGATTAGTGGTTAAATCCCTTTGTTGATCCTTAGTTTGACAAGTAAAGTCATGTGTCAAGTTAGGTACTTCTAAGCTTTGACTAAGTAGACAATAGTGTTTGATCTGAAGATTTCCAACATGTCCTTGATTCTCTGTCTTATAGACATGAGGATGTGGTATCATTTCCTATCTATCATCCTCAACATAAAAAATATTCCTTTTTAAAAAACTTAAATCAATCATTATAAATTTAAGGCTTAATTGTGTTTTTAATTTTTTAAGTATTGCAATGGTGTGTTTTGCTCTCTCAAATTTTTAATTGAGTAATTTTAGTTTATTAAGTATCGCCTAGTTTTGAGATTTTAGTCCCTCAAATTTTAATCGAGTAATTTTAGTGCATCAATTATTACAATTGTATGGTTTTAATCTCTACTATTAAAAATCTAATATAATCACATACAAACTCTTAGTTAACTTACAAACCAAGTTCTCCTTCCCTACTATTTGGAAACCCTCTGGTTGCACCATGTAGATGTTCTCATCAAGGTCACCATGTAAGAATGTCGTCTTAACATCTAGTTGCTCTAGATGTAAATCCTCTGTAGACATAATGCTCAACACAAGTCTAATGGTAGTCATTTTAACTATAGGAGAGAAAATCTCATTATAGTCAATACCTCTTTTCTGTTGAAAACATTTTACAACTAACCTTGCCTTGTATCTCTTGTTTCCATCATGTTCTTCCTTGACCCTGAACACCCACTTGTTCTGCAACGCCCTTTTTCCTGTTGGTAGGTTAGTCAAACACCAAGTTTTATCCTTCTCAAGTGACTTCATCTCCTCCTGCATGGCTAATTCTCACTAGGTTGCATCATCCATTTGCAATGCCTCATGATAACATAGAGGTTCTCCATCTTCAGTCAACAACAAATAATTTGCTGAAGGAGAGAATCTATGAGGAGGCCTAATAACTCTGCTAGATCTCCTCACTTCAATTACTGGAGTGACTGGAGTGGTCTCCTCAACTGTCCTATTTTCCAAGCTCTCACCTTTTCCTGTAATGTCGTCTTCTGTAATGTCATCTAACATTGCCTCTTGCTTCTCTGTTGGTTTCTTTTTATCTTCAGCATTTCTCTCAAGTCTGTCCTTGTACACGATATTTTCATTGAAAGTAACATCTCTACTTCTAATGATTCTTCTATTTTGATCATCCCAAAAGTGATATCCCATATCATTTTCTCCATAGCCAATAAAAATGCACTTTCTTGCTTTTGGATCAAGCTTGTCCTTGTCAGCATCTCTAACACGAACATAAGAAACACAACCAAATACTTTCAAATGAGAAAGAATTACATCCTTGCTTTGCTATTCCTCCTCAAGAATCTTGAACTCTCTAGGAACTGAGGGTCCTCGATTAATGAGGTATGATGTTGTGTGTGACACCCTCTACCCCGCATATCATAACTCAATAAATTTAAATATAACATTTAATAATCAAACATGTTTAAAGAGTATCACATTTTTAACAAACACAATCAGCAGAAATTACAAAGAAATAAATCTCAAGTTTCCAAAATAATAACATTAACATCCTAATCTAATCTTATCTATGCCCCGATGTCACATGTCCTATCAGAGCATAGCCCATAAAGAAGCCTAAGCTTCACGACCAACATTCTCAGCCTCATACTGATAATCACCTGTATAACAGTCAGAGAAAAACAACACAAAGAAAAAGGGAGTGAGAAAACATCTCACTCGGCTCACAGTGTAGAAATATATACCAGATAGCCAAGCACAAACAAAATATGTATAACATAGATTAATAACAATATCACATCTTACTCATTCAAGGCATATTCATTTGTCATATAACATCAAAAGACACATGTATGGACACGGACTACATTTTATCATGCATGTGGCGCCAGTCACTTATCACGTAGTATATTGCCGCTAGCAATACACAAAGAGTAGTCTAGGAGTACATGCCGGGACACAACCTCTGCGCACTCTCACTAGAAGGACATACTACCAGAGTCTCGTCGGGATAGCTAAGCCGCGCAAGATACATCCCATGCACACAATGGGCGAGACTGGGACTTCCAAACCGAGCCATCCCCAAGGACTGATCCCCACAGCTTTTACACTAGGGGGCCTTCTCTGGCGGCGTATTCCATATCGTACCCTTATCACTTTATGCAAATGATGCATGTCAAACAAGACTCTATGCATTCTCATATCACTTTATCACTTTCCATGGTCATTTCTCTTTATCACATTTCATATCTCATTGTCACATTATCACATTATCTATCTCATGGTCAATCATATCTCATGGTCATTTCACATCATATTTCATCATCACATCATATCATTAGAAACATCACATTCACATTATCATATCATATTCATAACTTTCACAATCATAATCTCAACAGAATTTCTATTCATACACACATATTAACCAAGCTATATATATATATATATATATATATATATGAGAATGACTTTCTTAAGAGAGAATGGAAATGTTCAATCTCAACTCTAAAATTATAATAGACGACTTAGATTTGAAGAGGACAAACAAAATTATCACATTACCTCATCATTACAATTATTTTTATCATTGTCCCCATCACTATTGTCATTGTAACCATCATTGCTTTTATCACCACCACTATCGAAGGTGACAATGGTGGTGGTGTTGCAATAACTATGGTGACAAAGATAATGATGGAGATAACTACGATAATGACAACACATTAATTTTGTTTGTAAATTTAAACGTCTATTTTGATCTAGGAATTGAGATTGAACATTCTTATTCTCACTTAAGAGATTCATTCAATATTCTAAAATTATACAATTATTAACCTATTTAAGTTACATATATTATATTTCCCTAAAAAAAAAGTTACATATATTATAATTTTTTGTTCTAGTATCAAATGATATATATTTATTATTACTAAATAAATAAATTTATATATATTATTATTATCATCATAATATTATTGAAAATTTAATATCAATTGTAATATTATTATATTTATAGATAAATTAATAATTCTATAAATATAAATTAATATATATATATATAT